ATCCCCTGGCCCCCAACTACACACACACACACACACACACACACACACACACACACACTCACACAATCTGGGACGGTCAGGTTCCCCTCCCCGAATACCAATGTATTTCTGAGAAGACACCAGGGGGCACAAGAGTGGACATCTGGCTAGACTGAGATGGTTGTTTCTGCAGTTTTCCAGGCACCATACAAACCTTGGCCGTTTTCAAAATGCCATCGTTTGTTATTGGATCTGTGATCACAACAAATTGCTCCTGTTCATCATTCAATATGTAGTACTTGGCCACCCATGCGGGGGTGTTGGGGACATCAGCATCAGTCACTTTGAGGGTGGTGATTGTCGCATCCACAACATTCTCAAAAACCTTACCAACATACTGCAAAGCAAACGAGAAGATGAGGTCATTTATGCCATGCTAAGCCTCAATAACGGGGCTAAGTCTTCAGGGACTAAAAGACTCTTTCGGGGCCCAGCCTTCAGTAGACAGGTGCTATGGAGCACCCGGGTGATGGAATCAAATCTTGAAATGCTCACTGTCCAGGTCACCATTTCTTATTGGTGAAGCGCTGATGACAGTGGTGTCACCCGGTGTCATGCTCCAGGAATGTCTGACCGAGCTTTCCAAGGTGCTGCTACCTGAACCCCTCAGTACACATTAATCCCATTTTTAACTGCCAAGTACAAGATAGAGGTGCATCCTCATCTACCTCAGGAAACCATTCTCTCTCAGCCACCAGACGGCCCTTCATAAATGCCAGGCTGCTTGCCCTGGAATGATTTCCCATTGTAGTAGGGATGACTTCTCAAACTCTTACCTGAGCCCTTCAGAGCCTGGAGATCCCAGCCTCATTCAGTTCACTCTACTCTAATCACACTGGTGATTTTCCAGTTATTCTTCTACCATCAGTGTCTTCTTGATTAGGGCAGTTAGCAGATACTGACCCCACCCCCTTTACTTCCACCTCCCCCCTTTTCTGTCTTGCCAGACCTCCTGTCAGGTCAGAGTGAGAGTAGGTGTCACTCACTGCTTTGGGTAGGGCTCTTCTGCTCATGGTGACCAGGCTAGGATGGCAGGCACTAAAAAAGGCCTACTGAATATCTATTCTCCCCTTCTTCACTAAATGCATTGTTAGCGACACCACGGTGCTCAGCTACAAGACTTACATTTCCCAAGTCTGCCTCGTAGACAGCAGTTGTCTGTCCGTAAGAGCTGTGAGGCAAACTTCTGGGAGGAATCTTCCTAGAAATGCCTTCATTTAGAATACCCAACTCAGCAGCTCTGCCTTTCCCCCTGGCTTCCTTCTTGCCTGAAGCACTGACATAATAGCTGGAGCTCCAACAGCTATGCTGGGCTGCAAGGTGACCTTGACCATGGCAGTCAGGTACTACAGATGGTGGAAGAGCAAGACAAAGGCACCTTGGTTTCTACTGATAAAGGTTACCTGTCTACCTCTGGGCTTTCTGTTACATGAAAGAAAGGCGGGGGAAAGCAACCAACCCTATTTGCTTCAATCACAAGTCATCTGTGACTAACCATCAGGCCAATTTCTAGCCGAGGCTATAGGGTTAAGGTTCCTCTATTTGGCTCCCAATAATTTTGCCATGATTGCATTTCATAACACTAGCACTCAAGAATCTGAGTCCGCTGCCTAACACAGCTCAAGCTAGACTATAAAGTTGCATGAAAACAGACCCTTTGCCTTGTTGGTGATGACATCTTCCGGGCCTCGTATAAACATGGAAAATATCTGTCCAGTGAAATGTTGATAATTTGCTACCAAGCTACATCATATGAGGACATGGATGCAAGTGGGTCCTTGTTGAAATTTCACAAACCCGTGTCAGTGGACCCCAGGCCCAGAAGAGGGCCGGGATACTCAAAGACAACCCCCACCACCCTATTCTACTTGCCTTTCAGTCTAGGACAAATAACATGAACCATTAACATTCAATAGTGCACCCATAAGCAGTTGTGGAACTTTTGTAAACCAGGAAGAGCCCCCTTTTTGGAAACCGTCTGAGGAACTGCAGAATTACCACGGTCGGATTGAAGACGGGTGGGTTGTCGTTGGTATCAGTGATGAAGATCACAGCTTTCGCTGTTGTGCTTAAGCCGTCTCCTTGAAGGTCAGTAGCTTTAACCACCAGGGTGTACTGAGGAACACTCTGTGGGGCAAAAAGACCCAAGTTAGGACCCACCGCCACGCAGGTATGCCCCGGCCCAGCCCAGTCCAGCCCACAGAAACAGAAGATTCTATTCTCTGCTTAAATGCTGTCCAGGCACAGAACCTCTGGACAGATATTGAGATGCTAAGCTCAGGGCAAGTACTCATGAAATGATCAGCTCGGCCATCACCACGTTAACTGGTCTCAGCACAGCTCTGCAAAAGGTCCGTGGGATTTAACTAGTATACAGTTGCTCTCAGCCCCCTCAGAATTTTTTTGCCACCTGACCTCTCGGTCCAGCCCGGCGGTGACCACGCCAATGACTCCTGTGTCGCGGTTGATGGTGAACATGTTGTCGTAAGGCAGCTTAGGCTCTTGGTCTTCGATGGTGTAAACGATGGCGGCGTTGTAGGTGTTCACATCGTCATCTGCATCTGTGGCTGTGACCTGCATCACCGGGGTTCCTGAGAGTGTCAAAGGGAAGACTCAGCTCAGCTGTACTGAGGTCAGTCAAATTCAGTCACAAGTGGTAAAGGAGAGGTTCTAGAGGGGTTACCGTGTGATAGCATTTCCATTCCTGAAATTCTAAAATTCTTACCAGAGTACTATGGGAAGAAGAAACCATTCCATCAAATAAGCAGTGTCCTAGAACTAAATTTCTCCATCAAGTTTCGTATGGGATGTGTCATATGGGACTACAGGTCTCTGGTATTTCACATGAACACTATGTGAAATAAGAAAACCCTAGTTTTCTGTGGGTTTTTTTCACAGTTGGCGTCTCAGCCACAGCTTCACTGAGAGACCAGTTATTTGAAATCATGGTTTTCAAAAGGAAATTATAGCACCTATGACTGGCAAATGGACTATTAAATAACTCTCCAGCAGCAGTAGAGAACACACACACACACACACACACACACACACACACACACACTCCCAAAGGAACGAAAGAGAACCTACATATCGTAAAGAAGAATCTCAGTGGCCACTGAACATTATGAGGACTCCAGGAGAAACAAATTGGACATCTCTTTGATGAGTGCTACTCACTCATCAGATTGCTGAAAGCTAAGAAAGCTCCCAGTTCCAGGATGTCCAGCAAGCGGAAGGTTTAGCTATGGCTGCTGACGGTGTGAATTGCTTCAGCCACCGTGGGACAGTTGAATGACCTGGTATGACTCTTCTCACAGTCCTCTTTGTGACTCCCACCAAATGACTGCATGGGAGCTTGCAAACAGAATGTGTGAAACGCTAAGGCAGGGATTGGTTGGCTTTGCCACTCCTCTGGGAATAAAGTGAGGCCCCTCCGGGGCAGGAACCTAGGATCTCCTGAAGAGCCATGAACAGGATCCACTCCTAGATATGTACCTTGGAGAAACTCTTTACACACTGACACCAGGAGATGTCTTTCCAGAATGTTCTGAAAGCACTGCTCATAACAGTAAGAAATTAAAATAGCCCAAATCCCATCAGCCATAGTACAGATGCACTGCTTGTAGCCTAAATGGCTCTTTGGTATTAAAACATTTCATATAACACAGTAATACAGATGAATGACCAAATGAATGTACCAAAAAGTTGCATGAAAGAATTATGTATGCATAGCATGATTTGGTACATATCAGGTAGTCTGAGAAGAAGGGGAAATTAATAAGCTATTACCTAGTTCCAAATACATAGAAAACATAGAGAGGGAGTGACCATCAAGAAAGGCAGGGCAGTGGTCACATTTATGGGAGAAGACGAACCTGATCAGCGTGGGATGTAAAGGGGGTTAAGGTACCAGCAAGGGAATGCTTCGGAATCAGGGGAGATTGTTCTTAAACTAGTGCTGTTCTGACATGCAGCCACGGGTTAGACATCACACACACATATACCCATGCACACACACGTTTACTTCCTCTGGGACTTCCAAAGTAGATGTGTACACATGAGCCAGTTTCCGTGACCACACCCTGATCTGCCGCCCCAACACCTTCTTTCCTGGGCTCTCAGCTCATCGTGTGAGTACCTGGGACAGCGCCTTCCATGACAGACCCTTCAAAGACTTCCTGGGTGAAGATGGGCTTGTTGTCATTCTGATCCGTCACCGTGATCACAATCTCCATCGGGTCTTCAATGGACTCTCCATTCGAAGACACGGCATGAGACAAGAGCTGCAGACCCAAGGGAGAGTTACTTAGGCCCGGACAGGAAGAAGAGGTGACCGGAGCAGCAGGCTCTGTTCCTGGCTCCTCTCTCTTGGTGTTGGGAGATTGTTCGTGCCTTGAGGGCAGCCATACGCCTGGCCTCCACTCCTGCCCACTCCGATGGGTGTCCCTCACAGGCAGCTTTCCCCACCCCTGCCCCGCCGCTTTAACAATATGGTGACTGTGACTGAAGTGGACTAGTGAGCCTCCAGGCCAGAGCTCCAATTTGTCATCCAAGGATCAAGGAATCAAGTCCAGGAGATCGAGGGACAGGCCCAAGAAACGGATTGTTCCCATGTGGGTAACATTTGCTGATGTAGCCCCTCCAGTCTAACGTTCCCCAGATTGTCTTCACGTTGTATCAATATATTCCCTAAGCTCATGCTGCTACCATGGCCCCCAAACAGTTGCCCACCCCCCAATTCCAATACTGCGCTCTTCCTTCGGGCCAGAGACTTCCCAGTCTCATAAACGGACTGCCAGCTGGGTCTAAACTGCCAAGAACTCAAAACAGAATGGGGCTCTCTTGTCATTTTGCATTAACAACAGGTCAAGCAATATCAAAGTAAGTTGCTCCTAGGTGCAGAGCATCTGATTTAGAGATCTGGCATGGACAGACCAAAAACCCTTGGGAGAATTACTAAAAAACAAACTTGTCGGAGGGAAGGATGCTACCCATCTTAACAAGCCGCTCGGATATACTCACCGTGTAGTTGGATATTTCTTCTCTATCCAGAGGCTGGGTCACCTTCAGCCATCCGGTTTTTCTTTCAATCACAAACACACCAACAGGAGGTCTGTCGGCTCCTTCACCAGTGATGCTGTAGAAAACTTCAATTTCTTTGTCCCTGCTAGATTTGATCTGAAGACAACATGGAACGAAACAGAATTAGCAAGGAGGGATTCTGACAGTGGGTCGTTACCTTTATCTCCTTGGTCCTTCTTAGCCAAGTCCTTCCTCCCTTAACCCCCCACTCACCCCCTGCCCCAAGATAGAAGCAAACTTCTTTCCCTACCCGAACCAGGTTCTTAGGAAATGGGCCCTTTTCATTTTCTGGGCAGCTGATTGGAGGGATAACCCAGTCTCTCTTCTGTCTTCGAAGGCCCCCGTGGTGAACGCTGGGAAACATGAGTACTTCTTTCTGGGGCCCAGCCACAGGGTCCTCAAGGAAAGGAAACAGAACAAGATGAGCTTACTCAGGAAAGACACTGTAGCCAACATCTCCGGCTGCCGGTGGGTGGAGGATGGGGGGCTGTGTGAGATATTAATGTCAGACCACTGTCTCAACAATGAAATATTACAAAAACCCAAAAAACAATGAATTATTACATGTAGTCTCCCCAATGAATAACCTACAGCAGAGAGCAATCAGGAGACCCCTTTACCATAGAGCCCAGACAGTGCTGTGTCTCTTTTCATTCTTCTTTGGGTCCCCGGTTCAAGTCATCGTGATGCAGAGACAATTATAGGCCTAGGGATTGATATTCTTTTCAACATCATTAGTCTACATGTCCTATTTCACATTTTTGATAGCAACGCTTAATCTCAGAGTTTATCCAACAGCTGGACAGCCGTATGCCTGGATTTATTCCCCCTCCCCCTCTGATGTCTTTCTTAGGGCTCTGGGTTCTCAAATTGGAACTATCAGTCAGAACGAGCAAGTTTTGGGAAGAACTAATTTGTGATCAATGCAAACGCCTTTATCTCACTGTGTCATTCGATGGATTGGATTTTCCATTTGGGTTAGCAAAAGTTTTTTGGGTGGGAACCAAAAACGCCCTGTGAGACCTGTATTGAACGGTTTTCGTGCGCAAGAAAGATCACATTATGCACACACAGGGAAATCAGATAGTTGGAGACAGAAGGAAAACATCTTCCAAGTTGTTTAAGTGTTTTAAAATGATTAGTGGCAATCCAATGAATGCTCCAGAGGATAGAATTCCATCTCCCGTCCTCCTCCACATACAGCTTTCTCGCTCACGGATCACTGTTAGCCAAGTGTTAGAGCCCAATGCTCTGGGCTTTAAGATGTGCACAAGATGAGACGTGATTAGATAGAGCCAGCTCTCCCAAATCTGCAAAAGGGTCACCCACATACCCCTTCAAACATGCCCACACTGTCCTGTGTACCCTTGTGTTCATCTTCCAGAGGTAGTTCTGTTTGGGTCAAGGGCAGGCTCTGGAGGCCAGTGGCCTGGCTCCCAGGCCTCACTGGGGCACCACCACATTACGGACAGGTTACCTAGACTCTCCTACTACGGTTTCCTAAAGCTCTAAAAACAATGATACTATCAGGGGAGGAATGATTAAATGAGATGCTGGTATTGCACAGAAATAGAATGGGGCTTGGTACATGGTCAATGCTCAATACATAGTAATGATGATGATGCTGGTGGATTGATTAGAGAAACACCAAGCCATGCTTTCAATGAAGCCAAATCAGGGGGCTGATCCAAGAACTGGAACAACGCATTAAACTGACCATCGACCCTGTGCTCTGAGCCTTAAAATGACCATTTTTACACACACAGGCTGTGCAAATTTGCTGTATTGAAAAGAAAGGCTGGCATCGGGATTGTAGAATGCTTCCAGAGAATGACAGTAACGAGGAACACTGTGCTAGCAAGGCCTGACATTAGTACGTCCATGCGTGAAATCAAAGGGAATGCTGCCCAAATGAGCCAAACCTGGAAATCACCCATTAGAAGACTGGGACACCAGAGTGGCCAAACAGAGCGGAAGAACGACTGGTTCTTAACCAGGGCAATTCTATCTCCTGGAGGTATCTGTATGTGAAGGGGATGGGGGAAATAACCAAAGGTATGAAGACATTTGGGTTGTCACAACTAACTGGGAAATGTATTCTTGGCATCTGAGGAGAAAAGGTCAATGTTCAATCTGGTCTCATATGAATTAAAAGACAGGTTAAGTTTGCGGTCCATTTTCCTGATACAGGAAGGACCACTTGGCTCCACATTGGTCCCCTGAAAATAACCCAGGTGAAGCTCAGACTAGGTTGTAGCGGAATCTGCTGCCTATCACTCAACACCTATCCTTTCTCTTTGAAAAAAGTAGCTTTAAAAAACGTGTGTGTTGAGGAGCGGATACCAAGGGCTCAAGCAGAAAGCAAATGTTTTGAAAATGATGATGGCAACAAATGTACAAATATGCTTGATACAATGGGTGGATGGATGGATTGCGATAAGAGTTGTATGAGCCCCCAATAAAATGATTTTTTTTAAAAAGAATAAATAAAGATAAAAAACATTTTTTAAGTATGTGTGTTCAAATTTTGTCATCAGTAAACACCCTTGTTAGCTTGGTTTGGCCACATGATTAATTTTCTAACCAATGAGATACAAACAGAAGTACTGCTTGAAACTCTACAAAAAGTTCTTAAAAAACAGGTACCTCTCAGTAATGAGAGTAGAGATACCAGGAGGGAAGGGAGAAGGTGCGGGGAGAAACAACAGAAGAGTGCGTGAAGGGAGACAGCGGTGGGTGTAAGACATGAAAAAATTTTTTTAAAAATTATCAAGGATTCATGAGGGAGGGAGGAACAATGAGCTGACACCAAGGGCTCAAGTAGAAAGAAACTGTTGAGAACGAGGATGGCAACATAGGTACAAATATGCTCGACACAATGGATGGATGTACAGCTTGTGATAAGAGCCCCCGAGAAAATGATTTTAAATAAATAGCTACACCAGTCCCCTTTGTGTCCCTCCTCCCTTTTGTCTTCTAACCCAGACTAAAAACATCACAACAGAAGCTGTGTGGGGAGAGTTGCAGAACAGATGGGAAGGGAGGAGCCTGGGTTCCTGGTACTGGCTACAGACAACTTAGTACTCTTGGACGTCCTTAACTGGAAAAGCACTCCGTTTTGCTAACACTACTGTCATTTGTTTTTGTTGTTAATAATACCGCCAGAACCGAATCCTGAGGCGATGTTAGAAGGGGTAGAGAGAAGAAGCTGAAGAATCAAAGTCAAAGCTTTCCCTTAGCCACAAAAAGCGACTGCCCACAGCTGTCCAACCAAAGCCCACTCTGCTGACCTCCTCACAGGAATGGCAGCATCCGTCCCAGACTTGAATCAGGGGGCTTTGTTCATATAGTTTATACTTAGTTTCACTATGTTTTTGATCTGTCCCCGGGGACATGAGATCTGACAGGAGGGCTATGAAAACCCCAGAATCTCAGGAGTTTGGGGGTAGAAAATCAGGAGCTAGCCTACGAGGCCTTTGGCACTTGCAGCAGATCTCACACTTGCAAGGCAATAAACAGAAACAATGACCATCAGAGAGCTACTTGGGGATGAAGTGGCAGGGAAGCAAGCTTTTTGTCCTTGGGAGAAGTTCAGGAGGTAGCAAAGGCCTCTGGTGTTTGCTGGTTAATAAACTCCAGAAACTTAAGGGCAATGAATGTACAAATGCGCTTTACACAATTGATGTGTGTATGGATTGTGGTAAGAGTTGTATGAGCCCCTAATAAGATGATTTAAAAAAAAAGAAAGAAAACAGTCATATTTAAAAATAAATAAATAAACTCCAGAAACTTCCTTGCCAAGAACTTCAGCAGACGTGCATCCTCCCAGTCATAGTCAATCCAAACCAATCCTATCCACCCCCACCCCCCTCATCCACTCATCTGCTCAGTATTTATTGGGATCCTGCTACATGCCAAGCCTCTGCCCTGGCGCCCATGGAGGTCAGGGTCCAGAAGGAAGAACACTCCCTGCTGGTCTCCTCTCTTTTGTGCTAAGAGCCTACCCATGACACAAAAAAAGAGCAAAATGCTCAGAGAACCGGCCTGCCATTTGTTCTTCCCCAGGGAGAAGAGCTGTTGGCAGTTACTGAGCACTTAACATGTATTCGGTTCTAGACTGGCTCTGAGCATCTCAGATGTATGAAATTAACAGGGGTGGGTGGTGGGTTATAATTATCTCCATTTTACAGATAGGGAAATTGAAGCACAGACAGCGTAAGTTACATGGTACATGACAGGGCTGTGATCCACAGTGACTTGCTAGTCTTTTTTTTTTCTGACTTGCTAGTCTTACGCACCATGTGGTAACAATGGAGATGAAACCTGGCCATACCCATCACTGTAAGTAAAGAACAGTAAGAATTAGTTCGGCTAGACCAGGGATCAGCAAACTTTAGAGATGGAAGAGCCAATCCTGTCCCTCACACAATTTAAAAATTATTTGCTCATAGACCAATGAAATCACCATTACCTGGATAATATCCCTTTTAAGTAAAAGGATGATAGTTTTATTTTCATTTTCAATTTTACTTCAGAGCCACATGGAAGTAACAAAAGAGCCACAGATGGCTTTTAAGCGGCAGTTTACTGAGCCCAGAGCTGGAGGAATGGTTCTCAATTGGGGGTCATTTGGCTCTCCAAGGGGAATTTGGGAAGTATCTAAAACAATCTGCATTTGTTGCTGCAACAAGGGAAGGTACTATTCACATCTAGTAGAGGGGAGAGCTGCTGCTAAACATTCTTTGCAGCACAGCTTCCCCATCCCAACACACGCACAACGAAGAACCCTCTGGCCCCAAACATCAGATTAGACAGTACACTGAGATCATAGAAACCTTCAAACATACATGATGCCGTTGTTGGTGGTCATGTTGGTGGTGGTCATGTAGGTGGTGGCGGTGGTGGAGCTGCTCAGTAGCCTTCAGCGTCACTTTGGTCGAGAACTTTCTGCGGGTGGAGTCCCAGGCATGGACAAGAAAGCTGGTCTGTGGAGTGTGAAGTTGTAGATGCCGTTTGACTGTCACCACCCCGTCGGTAGCCACTTTGAATCGGGTGTCCTCGGAGTAGTAGACTGTCCTTGGCCGACCCGTGCATCCTTCAAAACTCACTGTAGGATGTAAATCGAAATGATTAGACGATTGGGTAGGTTCATTAAAAGACAAGAGTGGTCTTCCTCCAAAAAAGCCACCCACCAAAGTCCTGGCCCAGGAAAACAACCCCCAACCTGGTGAGACAGAACAGCAGAGGTCTCAGGAGTTGATGTCACCGTTCAGTTCTTCACAATTCCTTGGGTGATTGGTGAGCTGAACGTTTCCTCACTTCCTTGTAAAGTGGAAACAGTGGTCTGCCTATAAAGCAGCCTGTTTTCCAATAAAGGAGGGAGAAAGGCTGACCGCTCCTCCGCTCTTTCATAGAAGGTCATCTTTTAATATGAAAATGAATCACTAAAATAGCTAAGCCAGCACACTGACTGAATGAGAAAGAAAACAAAAAACTAGAACATCAAGAATTCTTTGGTATTTCTCTGATATTTCTTAATGTTGCCTGCAAACAAAAATGATCTTAAAATAAAAGGTAAAATTTTAAAAATTAAAACATAATTTTAAAAATAGCTTACTGAGTTAGCAAGTGGCAGAGTAAGAGAATCAGTATGATAATCGTGGTTAGGAATATGCAGTCTTGGGAACCAGACTGTCAAAGAGGGGTCATATCGCAATTCTGCCACTTCCTAGGTTTGTGACCTTGAGCAAGTGTCTCAACCTTACTCACACCTTGTCCAGTTTGAGATCTGAAGGTGTGACTGCAGAAACCTGACTCAAGGGCCTTCCAAGCAGAGGCAACGTTTGACAAATCCATGCTGGGAAACTTCCGAAGCTGGCCTTTCTTTCAAATAACTGCTCACCTTTCCAGCGAAATTTCTTATTTTTTCCAAGTCCTCTTTTATGAAAAACAACTCTTGCTCTTAAGCATAGTTAAAGAGGTCAGTGTTTGATTTTGAGGGGAGTGGGTGGCTAGGAAGGGTAGAGACCTCCCTCTACATTCCTGAAAATGTTTTTGCCCTAAAGCCATTCTTGACCACCTGGGCTACAGATTTCGTTTCTTCCACTAGGGGACACCCTTGCAAACAGTTTCTGAAGTCAACAGCCCCACCCTTGTAAGCGCAAGGTAGAGATGATGAGAGAGCTAAAGTACACTATAATTTTCCTCATTTTGAAGATGAAGAAACTGAGGCTCAGAGAGCTTAAGACAGTGGTCCAGATTGTTCTAAGAGCTGTAAGAGCCTCCATTAAAGTGGTTTGTTAAAAAAGAAAGAAAGAAGCACGAGGAAAGGTACATCATCAGTATCTAACCTCATTCATATGTTTTACCTCAATGTATTGATCAGTTTAACACCCCTATCCTCATCCCTTAAACTGGGTTCCACGACTCACTTCCCAAACTCAGAGAGAGGAAGAGAAGCAGGTGGTAGCTACAGTGGTTTCTGAGTTAACAACTGAATTATATACTCAGATTCTGCCGTGTTCTGGCTGGGTCACAGTAAGCAACTTGCTTCACTTCTCTCGGCTGTAATTTCCTTTACTCTAACCTGAAGGATATCAACCGCCACTGGTGGAGGCTAAGTTCTCCAGGTTTTTGAAGCAATTAGTCAAGACAGAGAATGTGGTCCCATTTTGAAAGTTAATGGTTAACTATTATTTCCGTGCCTTCGGATGGACAAGCTAGAAATAAGATGTTTGCTAACTGAACAGATGAATCATAAAGTAACAGAAGCAAAGATAAATGCAAGTACTCAAAGGCTGGGAGGATCCAACCCTTCCGGTCTCAAACAGAAAACTGGGAAACAGGACTCCGAACTGGTTCCGAATGGTTCCGCCATGGCCAACCAGGGCAGTGTGCACGTTACGCACCAGGAGCCTGATGTGGGACACTGGATTGCTGGCAGGGTAACCCATTCACAGCACAAACCAGTCGGCCACTATCTTTGAGTGGGGTGTCAAAGCCTAGCCCTCCCCAGTAGAATCAAAATCCCAGGCACAAAACACCTACACTGCCTTAAGTTTCCTCAACCACGACTCAACCATTCAAATGGGTTTGGAAGTCCTGATAGAAAAGCAAGATGCTTCCCAAGTAACCACACTCTGCCCCCCAGAAGTAATGGGGGACACGTGCTGTGCCTGGGCTTTTTCTCATCTAAGCAAACGAAGGCTTTCCTGCCCCAAATCCAGGCAGTGAAAGTTGGGACAAGCATGACTGGGCTTGCCAAAGGGTGGCGGCCTGAAAAAATGAAAATGGTTTTGCAAATCACTTGATGCAAGGCACTTAACTTGCTTAGAGGCAATTCCTCTTAATGGCAGCAAGGCCCTGCCCTCCGAGAAGTGACAGAAGAAATGCAAAGGACAGACAGCCCCAACCTGAATTTCCAGGTGCTCATTAAGACCCATTATCTTCCTCCTGTGCAACCTGACCCTCTGGGCTGAAAAATCGGGAATTATAGGAAAGGCAAGGGGATCTCCAGTTCTGGGAAGGGTTTGGAAGCTCCCAGGTTTAACCCGGGTGAGGGCTGGGCAGTGTCCCGGACCTGTGCACTGCGAACTGGAAGTGGCAGCAGGCGGGAGGAAGCTGAACGGGAAAATGCTGAAAACAGAACATTGGTACAGGCAGACCTCGGAGATATTGCAGGCTCAGCTGCAGACCACAAAATAAAGCAAGTCACACGTTTCCCAGGGCCCAATGAAGGAGCCCCTGGTGGCACAGTGGTTACGAGTTAGGTTGCTAACTGAAAGGTCAGCTGTTTGAAACCACTAGCCTCTTTGCCAAAAACAGTTAGTGGGCTACTTGGTCTTGACAGCAAATGCCAATGACAACAGTCAGGAACCCCTTGGCCTATCGCAACTGGACACATCTTTTCACTGCACTGTCACTGCCCCCGCCACCCGCAAATACCATAGCCTCCATTAGTAGCTTCAACTAATACTATATATATGTATAGAATGTGTGTTGGGAACCATTGGGAGCACTTTACAAGCACTAAGTTGTTTACTCTCACACCCTCAGATGTGCAGAAGGGGCGTGCTCTCTAGAGATCAGGGTATGTACCACCCAGACACAGGAAAAAGGGAAATCTCAGAACACTGTGGAGAACCAGCATCCTGGATGAACCACGCCATGAACCAAGCACTATGGTGACCTTCAAGTTAACGCTGGCCTGACAGGGACCATGGCACCCCCGAGCACCATACCAGAAGGACTCACAGACCAAATAAACTGGCCCTACCTCAAAACTACCTGTAGCCCTGGCACTTGGGACTGAAATTCCCTAATGGGAGAGAGAGCAAATGCTGGCCACCACCTGACACCCCATGACTGTGGCAATGGTGGTCATTGGACATTCAGTGAGACCCAACTTACTGGGTGTCCAATGAAAGGGGCCCCAGAACCACTATTTATTTACTCTTAATGCTCCCCTTGCATGAATGACAGGCAAGGATCTGCCCATATAAGGGAATGTTACAGGACATTTTCCCCTAGTATCAGCCCTCAGGTTCAATGTCAACCGAACTAAAGCATTTAAGAATTCAGTGTGTACAAAGCAACAATTCATGGATTGCAGTTCGAAGCTGGATAAGACTCACATAAGCTCTTCTCAACAGTGCCTTAAATTCTATGCCATTGGATACATTAATAATATTATCAATGCAATTGACTTAGACCCTGGTCGGCGGGGGTGGGGTGGGGTGGAGGGTGATTGACAATGTTTTTGTTTTGTCTGTTTTAGGGTTTTTTTTGCTTTTTATTTTGTTTTGTCATGAAAATATGACTAACTAAACCAGCGTCATTCATAACCTGTGTACAAACAGATGGGTTCTGGATTCCCACTTAATTCTAGCCCCAATCCAAGAAATTAGTTCTTTTTTTTTTTTAATTTTATTTATTTTTTTTAACATTTTATTAGGGGCTCATACAACTGTTATCCCATCCATACATACATCAATTGTGTAAAGCGCATTTGTACATCGTTTCTCAAAACATTTTCTCTCCATTTAAACCCCCGACATTAGGTCCTCATTTTTCCCCTCCCTCCACGCTCCTCCCTCCCGCATGAGCCCTTGATAGTTTATAAATGGGTATTTTGTCATATCTTGCCCTATCCGACGTCTCCCTTCATCCACTTTTCAGTTGTCCATCCCCCAGGGAGGAGGTCACATATAGTTCCATGTAATCGGTTCCCTCCTTCCTACCCATTCTCCCTTTACCCTCCCTGTTTCGCCACTCACACCACTGGTCCTATAGGGCTCATCCGTCCCGGATTCCCTGTGAAATTAGTTCTTATAAGATGGCCCTTCATGAAGAGATTACTGAAGATAAGGATGCTACAGCACAGTGTGGTGAAGAAAGCACATGATGCCTGGCCATCAATTGGGGTCTTAAAGGCCAAGTGTCTGGGGTCTTCAAACGAGCAGCCATCTAAGTGAGGCGTCAACTAAGTCCACACGCAGATCCCCTCTGGCAACAGTCAAGGGACTCAAATAGCTTTGCTATCAGAGAGTATTGTAAACTACTGCAGTCTACAGAGGAGCCCTGGTGGCATAGGGGGGGTGAAGAGTTGGGCTGTTCATTCCAACCCAATATGTAATACGACACCTGGTCAGATGACCTCCCTTGTCACCTAATCTGAATTTGCTCTAGGTTTAAATAGTTCTCGCTTGTTCCACAACAGAAATGTCCTTTTCGGCTTTTAAAAATATTGCTGGTGGTCTTTTCTTTCTTACTCTTTCTTATCTTTCTATCACCTTGTGTCTGTTTCATTTTGTTTTTATTGTTTCTGTTGGGTTTCTCCATTTTTGAAGCACGGGATAAGTGGATGCATAGAGACAATGACTGGTGCAAAGTTTTAATGGAGATGAGGGAGGGGTGGAGAGGGCAAGGGGGCTTGGGGAGCACACAATGTGGGAGGTGGGAGAGAGCCCTAACACTGATTGTGGATAACTCTTTTTAAGAGAGACTTAACTATGGGAGTGTATGATAGGTGAAAGTTTACATCCATAAAAAGACAGCAGTATGGAATGGAAACACCCAGAGGAGGAGTTGTCATGGAGAGGGGGTGGG